ATAGCTCTTGTATTTGTCGAACAATTTTTATTTAAATGTGTGGGTGCGTGTGGGTTTCTGCCATTGAATAAACATATCAATTATATAGTTACAATAAGATCGTAAAATACATTGAAAGTATATATATATATATTATATTCAGTAGCAATACTGAAGCATGTGAGGTTTTCAAATCTAAATAAAAGTTTATTAAAAGAGAATTTCTTTTTTATGAATTGTCAACAATTATTTTAAGTTGTAATTGTAACAAAGAAATGATCTATATTTCTATATTTCCATTTGTTGAGGTTATACATAATTTCAAAATTCGTCAGTAAAGATGTGTGAACAATATCCTTTTTCTGAACATTACTTTATTTGTTTTCAGTAAATTAGAAGAAATTAGATTATTTCAAACAATTCCACATCATCCGAATATTCATTTTGAGTGCTGAGAAAGAACGTGAAAATATAATTTAGGTTATGATTATTAGAACTATAGAGCTTTTTGAATCAGATTATTAAGAGTTATCATAAATGTGTCTGAGTCTTATTTGAGACAGTGAATAAGAACTGAAAACTGGCGATTCATCAAAGATGCAATATCACAAAAGTCGCTAGATGTCGCTCTGCGAAGATGATTCCCAATTTCAAGTACGTGTTACTGAAATCAGCCCCAGCCACTTCCAATATCGTCCCCACTTCATCAATATGCATACCTGTGTCTGTTTTGTTGATGTCACAGATTGTGACACAAACAAAGAAAAATGGCCGTCTTCAAAGCTAATATATTTCGCCGAGGACGACGCAATATCTTGTGAGCCAATTTCGCTCATTTTGCCAAAGGTTCATAAATCTTCATATTCCACCAACCGTTTTGGTAATCACCTACCCACGGTTTTATTACGTCGCGTTAATTTTACTGCTATCTTATGGGAGAGTTTATTTCAATGGTTATATCCGACTAGTTAGGAGAGAAGTCCGGTCATAAATAACATCTGTGGGGAGAGACGACAACCTGCGTTTGTTCACAGAAACTTTCGTCAACTACTTTGTTCTTTTGTTGTTTTTTTTAGAAACTTTCGTGAACTACTTTGTTCTTTTGTGTTTTTTCAGTTGAAATACTTTCATACAAATACAGAACACGTGTAGTGTATGTTAGAGAGAGAGCAAGAGAGAGACAGAGAGACAGAGACAGAGAGAGACAGACAGAGAGACAGAGAGAGACAGACAGAGACAGATAGAGACAGAGAGACAGAGAGAGACAGAGAGAGAGAGACAGAGAGAGACAGATAGAGACAGAGACAGAGAGAGACAGAGAGAGAGACAGAGAGAGACAGACAGAGACAGATAGAGACAGAGAGACAGAGAGAGACAGAGAGAGAGAGACAGAGAGAGACAGAGACAGATAGAGACAGAGAGACAGAGAGAGACAGAGAGAGACAGAGAGAGAGACAGAGAGAGAGACAGACAGACAGAGACAGAGACAGAGAGACAGAGACAGAGAGAGAGACAGAGAGAGACAGACAGAGAGACAGACAGACAGAGAGAGATAGAGAGAAAGAGAGAGACAGAGAGAGAGACAGAGAGAGAGAGAGACAGGGATAAGAAAGAGAGAGAGAGTGCCAGAAAGAGAGAGTCAGAGAGAGTGCCTGTGTCTGTGTGTGTCAGAGAGAAAAGTGCGTAAAAAAAGCTCAAGAATGAACAAGATCGCGAGTAATGATTACAAGTTCCAATCTGTTTAACCCAGAAAGACAAAGTATTAGATTCGATGTTTCAAAAGTAAAAAGTAAATACCAAACAACAACACAGACAAACCTTTTTTTAACTAGTATGTCGCCCAATTGAAAAAAAAAATCATTGAGCAACATAAAAGTGTCTTAATATTAAACAAAACTGAACAGATTCACAACTAAAACTACCTGTACATGCTTTGCAGTGAACGGATGGATAAAGAGATTATAATTAAGTAAATCTAGATAAATGGCAGTGAAAAGTACCCAATTTAATCCGTGGTAAGCCCAAGTTGTTGCTGAGTTAGCCAATTTCACACTCCCCATCCTCGTCATTCAAACGCATCCTTCTTTCCAACGGTTATTCCATAAATTATGCAAATGAGAAACTCTCAAGCACGGGGGGGGGTCCCTAACTAGGACGATGTGTTACTATATTAAATGATTGATACATACACGAAACAAAGGTATTTTGCGTTATACATATAGTTTTTGTTATGAGAACGCCTTTTGAAGAGTCATATCGCTGTAGGACTTTAAGTGCAGTTTTTAGGGCTAGGAAACCTGATTTTTCAAAGTCAATACTAGTATTCTAGTCATTTATCTACATACTAAGTTGAAACAACACTGTCCCAATGTATCCAAATCACAAGCTCATATACCTACCTAGGTATAATTATGTCTTCGTCTGGCAGTTATTCTTTAGCCAAAAAACAATTATCTTTAAAAGCTCGTAAAGCAATATTTAGTCTTAAACCCCTCATCCGCACCTCTTTGTCCCCCAAGGCCTTACTCAAACTCTTTGATGCGTGCATCAAATCTATAATGTTATACGCCTGTGAGATCTGGGGTAAAGATTATTCAAATGACAATTGTCCTGTAGAGATAACTCAGAACCGCTTCTGTAAAAATATTCTTGGTGTGCACAGGAATTCTAGTAACCTAGCAAGTAGGGCAGAACTTGGGTTGTTCCCAACAGATATAGATGTATCCGTCCGTGTAGTTAAATACTGGTTAAGACTCAAACAACTGGACACTTTCACACACCCCTTACAAGTAGATGCATTACTCTGTCAGCAACACAATATAGGAAATAGTGGTAAGAAAAGTTGGCTACACCATGTCAAAGAAATAATTAACAATGCAGGCTATTCTTTTTATGGAACACCAACCACTGTACTTTAGACAACAAGAGTATATGTACATTGTTGAAGAGAAGACTAACTGATATGTATGTTCAAACGTTCTTTCACCAATTGTCTGTAGATAACGGCAAGCTAAGATTTTACAAGACCGTCAAATCCGAATACTTCATGGAAAAATATCTATACCACAATGAATTCGACGAACGAGCTGCCATGTGTAAGATTAGAATAAGTGCGCATCCACTAGAGATAGAAAAAGGCCGCTATAGAAAACTACCTGTGCACGAGAGATTATGTAAATATTGTACAATGAATGCAGTGGAAAATGAAATACATTTTGTTAGCCAGTGTCCTCACTATGAGACCGAAAGAAACAGATTATTTCAGACAGTTACAACAATCTCTCCATCATTTCGTCATTTAGAAGATCACCAAAAGACTACATTTCTACTAAGATCACAAAACCCACTAATTATGCAGAATGTGGGACTATTCATTATCCACTGCCTTCAAAGAAGAAGTCGAACCCCTTAATAGCTAGAGTAGTAGTAGAAGTAGAGGTTTTTCCAGACAGATTGTTACCTGTCTCCTGTTTCTGTATAATTGACTGTACACGCAATTAGCCTTCGGGCATGATTTTGCAAATAAACAACTATTTAATTAATGTATATCAACATTCATGGAACAAAAATGCCTCAAATTCTGACAAAAAACGGTTACTGGAAGGACCTGGATTGATTTTTAGGGTACCACCCATAAAATAAAGGACTCATCTTGGGGCTTGTTTCTTCAGTTTTAAATACCCAAAGTATGAAATACTGATTGAAATGTGCTAATGTGAGACATTATGTATCAATATCACAAAAATTGCCTTGTTCAAAATATTTCCAGTTTTGCTGCCCTGAAATTGCATTGAGTGCCTTTAACGAATTTTTTTTTGTGACAGTGTATATGAAGGTAGCCACGCGCTTAGAGTTCGGTAATTTTGTTACTCCATATTCCTTTCCCAGCGGAGTAAAAAATAAAAACCAGACGCTAGCGAGGACCTTAACCTTCGGCTGTTGAACTGCAACGGCAAATTTCATCAATTGAAGTAATGAGGCGGAGAAATGAGGGAACGGTTCCGCAGACACGCGGCGGCGAGCGCGGCGCATTATTCTCCATTTCCGCCCGCCGCGTGTCACCGCTCGCGCCGCCTGGCGTGCGGGCCCGCCCCGGTACCCTGTCCCGCCGCTACCGGGGTTATTCCGTAGCCTCCACCAGGCCTTGTATTAAAGCAAGACACATGCCCGTAGCCAGGATTTTGAATTGGGGGGGGGGGGGTTCTTCCCACTGTTTGAGGGACCAGCGAGCGCCGAAGGTGCGAGGTTCCTAGGGGGGTCCGGGGGCATGCTCCCCCGGGAAATTTTGAAAAATGAACCTTCTGAAATGGCATTTCATGCGTTTTTGAGAGAATTTCAGAGAGAAAAAAAATCAGAGATAACTTTTTATGCAATGACAAAGGGAGCAGTTTTATACGATTCCATGCAAGTTGATGATATGAATCAGTCCATCTAAAGAGAAATCTTGGACCTTTAGATAAAAAGTGGACCAAAAAGTGGACCTTTGAGCCTTGTGGGGGGTTCTTCCGAACCCCCGAACCCCCCCTGGCTACGGGCATGGACTCCAACATTTCGGCCCATGGACGTTTCGGCCATGGACGTTTCATGACATTTCGGCCACATGCGGTGGACGTTTCGGCCACTAAATTTTACCTTTTTGAACCCGCGCTTTTTAGCCTGGTCGAGACTACTTATTGAAAGTTTCGCTACACTTCTCCTCTCGTTCATATCTATTAAGGAATGTTTCCTTCGATCGGTAAAAATATCTACAGGTCCCAAGAGGAATAGGAACGAAATGTATGTATACATATATTATATACATATATCTAGTGTTCTACATGCACGGCGTATATTATCATATCAGAGGTATTTGTTCTCAAATAGTTAGTTTTCGTCACTATACTAGACTAGACACCTCTGCACAGAGAAAATGCTCAAAGGACAAACAAACAAACAAACAAACAAACAAATCAACAACAAAATAGCTACAGTTTCACTGCCTCCCTACGTTTTTTGTTTCTTTTGAAACTTTTCCCCTTAAATTGAAGTTCATTGTATACTAGCATGTATTGTGTAACCCAATTGTAGAGAACGTATGCAATTCTGATGATATACATACAATTTTGTATATGCTATCTATAGCTACCTAACATTTAACATCAATATAGCGAAAAACAGGTGTAAATTTGACACAGTTAATGTTTCCGGTTGTCAACGTCATCATCACTCCGGAGTCTGTAATCCGGAATCCACAGGGATGTAATCCGGAATGCACACGGCTGTAATCCGGAATCCAGGCGGCTGTAATCCGGAATCCACGCGGCTCCGGTGCCTCAGGAAGCGTGGAAATGAAGAGCTCAGGCGGGATTTACGTCTCCCAGGCGGGCGTGCTGGGGACAGATGTGTGCGTTCTGGTAGGGAGGCGGCGCAGCGCGGCGGGGAGACGGGCGGGATGGCAGGCTGTAATCCCCGGGCTGCACCGGACAGCCGCCCGGTCACACCTCACACCACGTACGGGCGTAGCCTCCACCAGGCCTTTCTACGGAAATACGGATCGTAGAATTCGGCAAAAAGGAGAGTGAAATTGGCCATGGCAGTCCGGCCGCGGGAAGGTTGTTTCTTTCCCTTATTTAGCGGCCAGTCAAACGCCAAGGCGGCCAAACTCCCCTGGCAAATATTCTCCTGTATATATCCAGGGTAGTTAGTCTGGTAGAGACTAGTACGGACGGGCAGACAACAGAGAACCGTGTTCTTTAGTTTTACAACTATCGTACAATCGTTCTACGACTGCGAATCGAGGGAATTCTTGGGACTGTCGTAGACGTGTCGTAGAAAATACAGCTTTTTGTTACGACAAAAAAGCAGTCTTAGATCGTTCTTGGCGGTTGCTCTGTCACAGTTTTACAACTATCGTACAATCGTTGTACGACTGCGAATCAAAAGAATTATTGCGACTGTCGTGAACGTGTCGTTGAAAATTCAGCAGTTTTCTTACGACAAAAATGCGGCCGTAGCTCCTTGTCGAGGGTTGGTTGTGTCACAGTTTTACAACTATCGTACCATCGTTGTACGACTACGAGGGAATTCTTGCGACAATCGTGAACGTGTCGTTGAAAATTCAGCAGTTTTGTTACGACAAAAATGCAGTCGTAGGTCCTTGTCGGCGGTTGATTGTGTCAATGTCTTACTTGAAAATTCCACATCAAAATCTTGCGACAACCACCCACAACGTAACAGTCCACGGAACTAGTCTCTACCAGGCGTCTTCGGCTGCTAAAATTTAGCGAAACAAGGTGAATAATTTTCAAGAGGAGTTAGGCAGCCATGGTTTTGTCTGGAAATTGCATGTAGCTCAAATGTTGGCTATTTTTCCCATAAAATTATTCCTTTTTGGGCCAATTCTTAGTGATTTTGTCAGAATCTGAAGAGTTGAGGTAGAGACTACACTAGAAACTACACTTGAGAGCTGCTTGATATGATCAAAGATGGTAAAACAATGCCTCATAACTAAAGTCCCAATTTCAGTTCAAATCGTACATTTTTCCGGTGTATGAAACATGAAATTAGAGTTTTAGAAAAAATATTATAGCTTCGTTTCATTATATGTGCAAAGCATTGTATCATTGCTAAAAAAGGTGCTTCAAAAACATATAGTGGTAAAACTGAAAAGTAACAAGTTGAAAATTGGCCGCACCAGTAATTGAAAGATATTAAGTGTGAAAAAATAATAGAAAAAATATTATAGCTCCGTTTCATTATTTGTGCAAAGCATTGTATCATTGCTAAAAAATGTGCTTCAAAAACATATAGTGGTAAAACTGAAAAGTAACAAGTTGAAAATTGGCCGCACCAGTAATTGAAAGATATTAAGTGTGCGAGTAAAAAGGAATTTGTGGCCTGTGCTTGTATAAATGTCATATAATGACCAGTATTACACAATTGAAAAATGTATATCAAAAAGTCGTTAGGTTTCGGCGGGCGGTCGTGTATCAAAACGTCAGAATAATTGCGGGAAATTGGACTGAAGTGACGAATAACGGGCTATGATTACGGTCCACTCTGTACGCGAAGTCATGAATCTTCATCCTGTGAATTAAGTACTCACTTTTTCCATTGCACGGCTGTGTTGGTGTGACATTAGTTCCAATTTGCGGCCGGAGTCAGCGTCTCTCACTCAGAACCAATTTCAGTCCTACAGAACAAGACAAGGGAACGAAAACCCATAAATAATAATTACCCCACCTTATGAAACAAACTCCTGAAAACAAAAAACACAAAAAGTAAGAAACAATAGATCTAGAAAAAGTCAAGGATCAGAATCATATGAACCCTAAAATTTGGGAACTGATAATGTTTTATATTGAATTCACAGATATTAAGTTTATATTAAGCATATAAACTATCCCACTACGCGTAGGTAATATAATATCTTTTGCCTACAAGTTTGCTTTATTGAATTATCAAATAAACGCGTCCACATGAAAAATGATAGAGGGATGGTCTATATTTTGATGTATGTAATCAGTACTTTATTTATTGAGCAGTAAAAATAAGTTGGCGACCCATTCTTCAAAACTACGATTTCTTTATTGCTCAGAGGCAAGAATTATTTTCTAATAATCTTTCCACAATTTCGTATTAAACTAATTTTGGAGGATAATATTACTGTAACAATCCAAACTTACATACATGCGAATATCATACCTTCACCCAAAAATAAAACAATATACAGAAATAAGCCCTGCCTGGCGTATTTTATGTAAAAACATCAACGTTCAATCATAATTGTTATAAATCATATAATTATCGTGGTGTGAAAATAATCAATATAAATATTTAATATGAAATAATTAGTGATATCACTGAACTCATACTTCAAAAACTAAAAAGAAAATGATTAAAATCATAACGATAAAATCAACAAAGATGTGAGTGAAGTTTCGGTGGCGGTTATATTTTAAAATTTAAAAGTCCAGTTTAAAAAAAAGCCGTTAAAAACGGCCTAATCCCTCGACATCTGTTAATACCACGCTAGAGGAAGGATGACATAATCAACGTCCCCTCAACAACAATGTAATGCAATTAAGCCGAGGTAATTAACGCTGTAATTGTAGTTTCCGGTTGGGTGATGATTGGCAGTTTATAGCAGGCGCGGGGCAAGAGTTCCACACATACCCCATGTAATTAATGTTTGTGTTTCGGTAAAGTCTCTCCGGAGCGGCTCTATTATACTGAACCCGGCGACTCTGACACTCGGAGATGTCTCCATCAATTCCCGGAAAATAGTTTCCAGAGCGGCCAGATGGAATATTAACGGCAATCACTCCGCAGTATGAGTAAACTGGGCAGTTTATTAGCACGTTTTGTTTAATTGGGGCAATTCAGTCATGGGGAAAAGTCAGTGATGTGTTGTTTTTATTATTACTGTGTCATGCTAATGTAAATATTAAGTAAAATACGTTTATTTTAAGTTCATGCCCTAAAACAATGACTTCTTCTGTGTAAGAAAATAGGAAGAGGTAATATTTAACTCAATTAGGGAATTCTTTTGTTGGATATATTTGGTTTATTGACAATCATTGAAGGACCAATCACGTTGAAGGCATCTCCATCGCGTGATTAAAAACGACGCTCATTGGACGCCGACTCTTGTCGCTGATTGGCTACAAAGCCGCGCACGATTTCATTGGCTGCTGTCCTTGGTGCTGATTTCACAATCGCCAACATGTAGTTTTCATTGGTGGATGTATGGGCGATAAACTTTGGTAACTTTTATGGTTCCAAAAGTTCCTTTAGCGTCTTGACAACATCTTATTTTTTACAACTTGCTTAGAACTTGTATATTACGTCAAGACGCATACACCGGGACAAGGCGACACCAAAGCGCATCTTTTTTTCCCATTAGCAAAAATCCTTTAATCGCTGCGCCCCGTATCGGCAGCGAGGAATGTTCCAAAGTATCCCTCCCGCGTCTCCGTGTCAGTTATCTACCGGCATTAACCGCTTCCCTTTCCGCCGAGAGTCAGCGTTTACGCTGGGGGAATGGGCTATAAAACTAACCCGGGAGATTTGGCGGTGTCCGGGTAGGACGGCCCTTTAGAAAGCGGGCTCATCCCCTCGCCGTGTGATGTATATGCGGGAGCTATCGGCGCGACTCATTGCCGCACTCACCGGCTTTACGGCCCGCGTGAGTCGGCGAGTTTCCCCGCCCGACAACTTCCCCTCACCGACCATAAATTAAAAGACTCATAATGTTTTCATTTGCGCGCGCGTTCCATCACGCCAAGCCTAGCGGGCGGCGGCAATTTGTAATTTTTGTCATAATTAGCACTCTTACACGGGGATTTGGTGCGGGGAAAATTGCGATATTACAAACTTAATGGAATAGCTTGTATTATCCACACTACAATGGAGAATGCATTTGTCTTTATCGAGAGACGTCGATACGCGTGCTGAGTGAGTGGCTTTTTGACGTGTTTGACAAATTCTGTTGATTAAGTTAGCTTAGGGTAGTTTTTCTTCGGGGAAGGAGGCGGCGAGGACTGGGCGCCGCGCGGGGAATGACGCCGGAAGGGCGACAGGGGTTCACGCTGGAGAAAACTCCACAAAAATTTGGTACAAGAATAAAAAAAAATTAAAAATAGAAAAAAAATTAAAAATAAGAAATAAAAAATTAAAAATTAAAAAAATAAAAAGTTAAAAAATGATACAAAATTTAAAAAAATGAAAAAATACACAAAATTACAAAATTGCAAAGTTAAAAGAATATCAAAAAATTAAAAAGAGAAAAATTATAGAATTTCACAGCTAAAGTATTCAATTACTCTTTAAAAATGTCGTTCCGAAACAACAAAATTATTAAATTCACAGCTAAAATGCCACATTACATTGTGTAAAAAAAGCTATTTTGAAACATAACACATAACATTATGAAGAAAAGTTTCCAGATGAGAAAAATAACACATTGTATATCGAAACTAGCTACCACATAAAATCGTAAAAAAAGGCTCGTTTCTAAATAAAAAGATTAAATCTTATAGCAAAGCTACCACATCACATTGTGAAAAAAGCCAGTTTTTAAATAGCAAAATTATCAAATACCGAAACTACTGCATAACATTGTAAAAAAAACTCCGTTTCTAGATAATAAAATTACCAGATTTTCCACCCAAACTGCCATATAACCTGACATTCTCCCACTACAATCAAGATATTACAACAGCGTTCTGAGAATAGTTCTATTTCTAAAACCGGCAGCCGCAAAATTAGCGTAAAGCAGACCGTCATTACTTCTATGAGAAATACCCCAGCTTAAACAAACATTCCCGGAATAGACTCATTCATAAGCGGCTGACATGGGCATGTGTTATGTCAACACTTGGCACTGATGAGTACAAATGGAGGAATTCAACCGCTCCATCTTATGTTTTGGGACGGATTGTGGTTTATAAATGAAGCAAAGACACACTGTCAACAAAATAACCCATCTGTTAAAGTCTATATACTCAGAATATTAAAAAAAAAACTTAGGTAACTTTGGGTAAAAAGAACTTGGATAACCTTGCAACGTTATGTTCATAAATTTGACATATTTGCCAGCAATTGATGTATATTTCTTTACTGATTTCTAAAATTTTACAATTTTTAAAAACTCCATGAAGGAGGAGTGGTTTTCAGTGCGTATGTCTGTCTGTGCGTGCGTTTGTGTTTCGTTGAACAGCATAAGTCAAGATGCTATGGATAACTTTTGATGATATTTAGTAGGTGGGTAGGTCATGGGAAGATGAAGGTCAAGGTCGATTTGGTCCTAGCGCCCTTCCTGAGAACTGCAGATAAGCGTCCATTTTTTGCATTTTCTGTTCTGGTACTTTTCTGTATTGAAGATCATTGTCTACATTGTATGCAATCTTATTTCGTTGTAACTTATAATGATTACGTAGAATCAGTCAAAATAAATTGCGACCAGTCAATCCGTTATAAACTCTTATATCAATCTTGTTCAGACTAAATCTTTATGAAACTTTACAAAATTTTGAGTTTTCCATGAAAGACAATAGTGTGCACCTACATTGTTCGTTCCATACAACTAGTAGCATGAGTAAAGAGGCCATCTACACCAGGGCATTACAACCATCCCTCAACAGAGACGGGAGGCGCCACGGACTTTCTGCAACCTATGATCCACTGCTCACGGAGTCACGTGTGTTTCTGCGTGACGTCACGGAAGCGGTGGATTGCTCATTCCTTGACAAAGACTGGAGTTGTACAGTCAAAAATTTGGGTGAGTCCAATTTCTTGTGTTAGAAATTACCGTTTAAACTTGCTTCATAACTAGTAGCATGACTTATAAATATGTCCCGCAGTAGTGATATGAAACAAGTTGTGTAGCGCCGCCCCAACACTTGTAGGGAAAGACAAATTTCTCTACGGCAGCGTAGCGGGAACACTAAGTGATCTATGGAAATAATACCTGACAATATCCACACATCAAAACGGGCGCCGTTAATATTTGGATCTCCTTTCTTGCAGCACACATCTATCAAAGCAAGTTTTTCCAATCTTCTAGATGTTGCCAACGCCTTGGAATTGATATAAACGACTAGGAGGTTGGGCTTTAGTAGATAGACACCCGTGTATCCACTCCCCAACGATTCATCTTCGTCTAAAGTTTGCAACTTTTGTCTGTTCACGGTCGTAAGATCTTTGCGAGGTCCGAGAGACCTCCTAGTGTCGTCTTTATATCAATCGCATCTTTACTGAAGTGTGGAGGGCAGCCCCGAAAATCTATGGGGAGAGTCCCGCCTCTAACTCGTAAAAGTGTCCGCTAAAGTTCCAACCGAACTCGTCAGAGTTTGTTGTGGTAGCTTTAGGCCATGTTGATTTGATCGTATGGATGACATCATCTGTGAACCCCAAAATTGACGCGAGCGTGCGAATACTTGAAAAAAAATTGTCCGCTAAAGTTCCACCCGAACTCGTCAGAGTTTGTTGTTGTTGACTTAGCTTTAGGCCATGTTGATTTGATAATATGGATGACATCCTCTGGGAACCCCAAAACTGATGCGAGCGTGCGAATAAAAACCTTCGGCATAAAAGTGTCCGCTAAAAGTTCCAACCGAACTCGTCAGAGTTTGGTGCACTTAGCTTTAGGCCATATTGATTTGATTGTATGGATGACATTATCTGGGAACC